CAAACCTTCGTCCCAACTGGAGTCATTCCTCCAGACACTTAGTTTTATATGCCACTTTACAGTGCTTCATAGCCCTCTCTAAGCGGTTTACAGAATCAGCCTATTGCCCCCCAACAATCTGGGTCCTCATTTTACCGACCTCAGAAGGATGGAAGGCTGAGTCAACCTTGAGCCTGGTGAGATTCGATCTGCCAAATTTCAGGCAGCCGGCAGTCAGCAGAAGTAGCCTGCAGTACTGCACTCTGCCAACCACTGTGCCATCGAGGCTAATAAAGTGCTTAAAACCCAGTCTCGATATTATGGTGCCCCCCCACACACACACACACCATGACCATGTAATCATATTTTGCGCACTTAGCAACCGGTTCATCTTAGCACTAGCACTTAGATTTATATACCACTTTACAGTGCTTCACAGCCCTCTCTAAGCAGTTTACAGAGTCAGCCTCCTGCCCACAACAATCTGGGTCCTCATTTTACCAACCTCGGAAGGATGGAAGGCTGAGTCAACTTTGAGCCGGTGAGACTCGAACTGCTGGCAGTTGGCAGAGTTAGCCTGCAATACTGCATTCTAACCACTGTGCCACCACGGCTCTTCTTGGGGCCGCTTACATTTCCCACAATCGGATGATCATAATTTTCAACATTTTTTTTTGCTGCTTTTCTACATTTATCTGTGCTTTCTGGCAAGAATAATGTCCATTGGATAAAATGTATTTACTTCACAACTGAGTTTAACAACTGACACCAACATAGTAATAAAAATCACGTGCTGATCAGCTTAATAACTGCAATGATTTACGGCCGTAATCCCAGGCTGAATTACAGTCATAAGATGAGGACTATCTGGACATTTGAGAGGCGAGCGTCTTTTAAGGAAATAAACAGAAGTGTAAATTCATTGTAAGACAAAACGCCACTATCCCCTCCCTTTAAACCAAGCAAAAAACAACCCACCCAATTGGATCATCCCATCCGAGGTCCAGTCGAAGTTGTAATGCCTAATCCACTGTCCCCTGTCAACTCAACAAAGAGAACTCATTTTAGTGCTTGTAATTTTGCAGGTGGTGGCTACACTACAGCTATCGCAAGACAATTCTCCACGTGGCTGAACGTGGCCAGCTTGTCTACCTGCTTTGCAGAGTGAGTCACTGCGCCAACTGCACATGCCAAGCAAGACAGTGGAAAATGTTCTGAATTGAGCTGACAGACCAGAGGTGGCATTCATCACGTTCTGACTGGTTCTGGAGAACCAGTAGTGGGAAGTTTGAAGAACCAGCAAATCCCACCACTGATTGGCCCTGCTCCCATCTATTCTCTGCCTCCTAAGTCCCAGCTGATTGGCTGGGTCTTCTTTGGTTGCCCTGCACATTTGTTCACACATATATACATTTATTCATCCTTACAATACATCCTCCGACATCTTTAGTATTATTTGTCTCATAGTCTCGGTTATCCTCTCAACAGCTCTTTTCCATCTTAGGTCCTCCCTTTCTGTCCCCACCAATGGTAAAATCTATTCCAAATTATATAATATATTCCGATTCATCCTTATTTTTAATCTCTAGGGTTAGCCTATCCATTTCAGCGCATATTACTTCGTCCTTACTAGGGATTATCAAATATAACTCTTTCTTATATTTTTTTGGTATAATTCCCAATAAGAAACCGTAAGTCACTTTTTTGAATGCTGTTGTAACTTGGAACAGTGGCTCAACAAATGGTTATAAGTCAGGGACTAATTGTAGTAAATGAATGAGAGATATCCAGATAACCAGCGCCTTAAAGGTAACCACCAGTACCTTGAATTGCACTTGGAAGCTCAACCAGTAAACAATGCTGCTCACACTTGCCGTGTATGTGGCACAATTTACAACCCCACATAGCATGCAAAATAGAGGTGTGCTCCTAACAAGAGGTACAATTTTTTAACATGCTTGTGGGTGGGCATTTAATTATACTGGAGAACGGTGATTGAATAAAACAATAGAACTTCCCTACAACAAGATAGTTCCAGAGGAGAGAATCGTAGCTGAATTCAACCTACATATTAATTCATGCACCCGGTTAATAAAACAAAATGACCATCACATGAACGATCCCCTAAGCCACACTTAAAATTTCCCGCACACATGAAATGTATTATGCATGCAGTGCAAAGTACTATGGCGGACAGATAAATAACTTTCTCAGACAAACCTCAAATTATGCAAAGTTTTCTGGAACAGAATGGTTGCATAAGTTAGGGAGTGTTAGTAACAGCTTAAATGTTGTCTTGCATCATACAGAACAGCAATAGCACTTAGACTTATACACTGCTTCACAGTGCTTTTGCAGCCCTCTCTAAGTGGTTTACAGAGTCAGCATGTTGCTCCCAACCATCTGGGTCCTCATTTTACTGACCTTAGAAGGCTGAGTCAGCCTGGTGAGGATTGAACTGAATTGCTGGCAGCCAGCAGTCAGCAGAAGTAGCCTGCAGTACTGCATTCTAACCATTTGCCACCAAGGCTCATAAAGTACTTAAAACCCAGTACTTTAAAAAAATCCAAATATTTAAACCAATGTCTAGGTACCCCAACACAAGCATATTCCACACTACCTGATCCAATATAATTTAATGGGCTGGAAGACTGAGAAAAGCAAGAACGCAAATGGCTTCCAATATTTGAGAGAGGCTGTCACAGAGAATAGAGGGAGTCAAACTATTCCCCAAAGCACCTGAGGGCAGAAGCAGAAGTAATAGATGGAAGCTAATCAAGGAGAGATCCAACTTAGAACTAAGAAGACATTTCTTGACTGTAAGAACAATTAATCCGTGCAATGGCTTGCCTTCAGAAGTTGTGGGTGGTCCCAACACTGGAGGTTTTTAAGAAGAAATCGGACAGCCATTTGTCTGGAATGGTATAGGGCAATGCTGACTAAACTTTTTGGACTTCTGTGCCAAGAATTGCACACACACTAGCGCGCGTGCACTCGCATTCCATCACCCAGAATGCAATGCTCATCCCCTCCCCACGCACCCTGCGCATGTGCACACAACCCCCCACCCCCCCTTACCTGCACTGCACCTCACAGCTGATTTTTCGACTGGTTTGAGGCCTTTGGCCTCCCAAAGGCTTGGAAAAAGCCTCTGCAAGGCTTTTCAGGATGAATTATAGGCCCATTTCATCACTTCCGGTATTACAGGAAGTGACGAAATGGGCCTATCTCCCTGAAAAGCCTTGCAGAGGCTTTTTCCAAGCCTCTGGGAGTCCAAAGAAGGCCTCAAACCAACCGAAAAAAATCAGCTGTGAGGTGCGCACAGCGCAGTGGGGTAAGTTTGCCTGGGGCTCGCGTGCCAGCACAAATGGCTCTGCATGCCACTTGTGGCACGCGTGCCATAGGTTTGCCATCATGGGTATAGGGTCTCCTGCTTGTGCTGTGGGTTGGACTAGAAGACCTCCAGCATCCCCTCCAACTCTGTGATTCTGTATTCTAAGGAAGCAATAGTACTTAGACTTACGTACCGCTTCAAAGTGCTTTATAGCACTCTCTAGGCAGTTTACAATGTCAGCATATTGCCCCTAACAACCTGGGTCTTCATTTTACCTAGGATGGAAGGCTGAGTCAACCTCCAGCTCCATCAGGATCGAACTCCATGCTACAGGCAGAGTTAGCCTGCAAAACTGCATTCTAATCGCTGTGCCATCAGGGCTCCTAAGCTTGTCATATTGCCTGGGCAAATAATATGAGCTTCTCACAAAGGTCTCTACTGGTGGCATTTTGAGATCTTTGATATTCGTCTTGCCAAATAGCCAAGAAACACAGAAACCACAAGTAAGCCTACACTGATAGGTGTCTCAGAGGGGAAATGGCCTCGTTTTCAGGCACAGCATATCTTGCATGACTACATTGTAGTAACATGTGCCATCTCACATTTGTTTCCTGCCTTCAGCATCGGCCTTGGCACATTTGATCTCTGTTTCCTATTGCAGTTCTTACTTGTCACTATTCCTCTGAGTTGTGGTTTCCATACACCTGACACGATGGTGGGTAAGCCAGATTAGTTTGTTAGCAGAATGAGGTGAGAATTATCTACCACATCATCTTGCTGGGTAGAATTAGTGGGAGGTGAGTGTTTTTATTTTTATGCTAGTTTGTTCCATCCAAAAATACAATTGAAAAGTGGGTGTGTGGAGTAAATGTGTTGGCTCTGAATTAGTTTTATAATAATTCAACAGCATTATTTCTAGCTGCAAGTTGATTTTTTTTTTTTTTTTTGCTTGCTGAAAGGGATTAGGGCAGGGGTATCAAATTCCAGGCCCGCAGGCCAGATCTGTCTATTCTTGGTTTTTTTCCCTTGACAACATTTCACTTCTCATCCAGGAAACTTCTGAATGAGAAGCAAAACCTCTTCAAAAAAAAAACAAACCCAAGAAAGTCCAGTTGCCTTTTGGGAAAGCATCTTTGGGATAGTTGGGTCCAGAATTTCCATTACAAAGTAAAGTGGTTGTTTAAATGAGTCTCGTCCGATTTTACAATCTTTGTTTGCCCCAAAACACACAACCCTCTTTTGGGGATCCTCCATAATTTTTAAAATTGGAAAGACAAAAAACATTTAATAAATGCTGGCAATAGATCGTCTTTTCAACCTGGAAAGGTAGACATTTTTTTTTTTTTTAGCTTCTTACCCCTTTTAATTATGTGTGTATATATTTTACAAGGCAGCTGGTAAACATTAAAATGAAAAAAAAAATCAAAGCCGACAAAGGTAAAATTACACTATGAAAATCAAAATACATTAGACAGAATCAGCAACAGAGAATGTGTGTGTTCTGGATGAATCCTTTGTTTTTCTATGAATTATTTCATCTATTATTCCATTATTCACAAACTATATTTCACAAAGACTTTACGTACACCTACAGTACCATGTACATCAAATTTATGAAGGTACAAAATGGATTTTATAAATTATTTCAGACACATTTAAATTAACAGTTCACAGTACTATGGGCATTTACAAAATAAAATTAAAGTTCTAGAAAAACTGCAGTTACTTCATATCTTTTTATCAAAGAGATATCAAAAAGAAGCACATTTTCCCCTCTTGTCTCTTTTCCATCCTGTATGCGACTATCTCACAAGAGGATTTATCCTTCCAATAACATCTGGAATGATTTATTGTTGTCAATGAGGTATGAAGTGTAAGAATGCTATTAAAAGGGGAAAGAAGAACTGAGCTGTTAAGGAGGGTTTTGGACTAGAGATTACACAGGCCAGAAATAGAAGAAAGAATGAAAAAGAAACTCAAGGTAACTCCATCTTAATTTTCTTAGTATCAAATGGGTCAGAGACAAACTTGGGCAATCTTTCAAGATAGATGTGAACCCCTTGAGATAAGGAATCTAGGTTGAGGAACAAACATAGCAAGGATTCCTAGAATTCTACTTTATTGTTGTAGAATACATCAAAATGTTGAAAGCCTGTCCAGGTTTCTCTCTATTCCGTGTTAAACTAAATAAGACAGCATTATTTTGAGTTTTATCCCCATGATTGTTATATGGGCCAGTTGTACCTGGAGAAGTATTCTAGTGAAATGTTTAAAATAAGTGGTAAATCTGTGCTTTTCCCCAAGTTATCATGACAACAAATAAAGGTATTATCGACCCTACCCCACTCATAATATGAGTTTCCCATCAATCATTCAACTATATTTATTTCGGATGGATGCTTTGCACGTCCGCAGTGCATGTTGTGAAATTGAATGCTGTCCTGTAAAACCTGCCTTGAAAGCCGCCTTCGAAACTCATCTGTGGTAAAGTAATAAATTATAGGGTCGAGGCAGGAATTTAAACTGGCAAGACACAAGGCAATTGCGTGGAAGATCAAGATAGCCTTTCGGGCATGAGAATCTTCTATATTTTGGGTCTTGACCAAATAATTCAAAGGGAAGCTGATGTGATAAGGACCAAAGCAAATCAAAAAGACAACAGCACAAGTCAGGATCATCTTCAAGGCCTTCTGTTTCTCCCCAAGGTCTTGGGAAACAGAATTCTTCTCTTGGAGAGATAAGATGGTCTTCCAGGAACAGTACAAGATGATCAACAGAGGGGTTACAAAGCCAACCAGCTCACCCAGGGACATCATTGCTATTGAGATAGGTTCATCTGCAGTCTTCAAGGGCAGGTCGACAAAACATTTATCGTCAGCACAGGTCTTGTTGGAGGTAAGACGCAGAAGGGGGAAAGATAAGCAGCCAACGCAAACCACCAGCCATCCCACAATGCAGATGTACATATCATAGATGCGCTTGCAATCACTGAACTTCAGAGGGTGCATGAGGAATTGGAACCTCCTCACACTGATGCAAACCAAGAAGTAAATGCTTGCATACATGTTGACGTACTTGAGGTAGAAGCAAAACATGCAAAGTTCCTTCCCCAGGTACCAACTTTTAGACAGGTAATAAAAAATCCTTAGTGGCAGAGATAAAACTTGGGCCAAGTCTGCAATTGCAAGATTGAACATAAAAATCACAGCCCGTTTAGTTTCTTTCATATATCCATAGAAGACCCAGAGAGCCAGAACATTCCCAATCAGCCCGGGAATCAGGATGATTGTGTACATGATGGCATAGAGACGTTTCAAAAACTCCTCTTCATTATAGTTTGAGTCATTGGCTGCCATGATTTTCCTTGTGAAGTATGGAGTGGCTTAGAAGAAAGGTAAGGAGATTATCTAAAATTGTTGCTATCTTGAATTCTCAGGGGAAGGATGTGAAAAGGCTACAACCAGAGCTGAGGCACCACATAGGTGAATTCTGAATATTGCCTGGTTTTGTTGCATCATCTTTTCTTTTGCAAGCTTGCAAAAACAGATGCTGCTGCAGTTTCTTTAAAAAAAATGAGAATATTTAGGATCTTTTTGCTTCTCTGATTCAGCTTTCTTCATTGTGTTGAGTTTTGTCCAAAATAAGCTTGTTTGATTATAGCATCCAGTTGATTTTTGAAGAAGCTTTATCCCGGAGCCTCGAGTCCTCGTTCTCAAATAGGTTTTGTCTTGAGGAAAAGGAAGACAAATAAATCCCAAATGTATGCTGTGGACAAGAGGCAAGGAGAACCAGGTATCATCTGAGACATCACAGCCACTGCCACCTATACGAAGAGCTTCTGCTCCTTTTCCACTGTCATACCAAAAAGGACTTTTATAGTTGTTACTCTGCAGTGCAGCAAAATTGGAACACCTGCAATGGAAGAAAATGCAAATAAGAGTTTATGCAATCCTATTCAATGGAAAGTGTCTCAAAGTTGACTTGGTTAGAGGTTCCATCAACCAACCCATCTCAACTCTGTTAGATACACCAGAGAAAGCTGTAATCTCAAGGCCCTCTTTTTGGCAGAGCTTACACCAATGTCTACTTGGCCTCTCATCCCAACCTCACTTCCTCAACAGGCATTCTACCTGCCAGCTTTAGAAAGAAAATAAAGCTGCTTCTATTTAGATTGGGATTGTTTGGGAATGCCTCCCCTTTGAAAAGAGAGGAATCTACGATAGATGTCCTAGTGGACAACCACTTAAGTACGACCCAAAAGTGGCCAACACACTCTTAAACTGCATCAGCAGAGGGATAGCATCAAGAAATGATGATACCACTCTACTGCTCTAAGCCACATTTGAAATACTGCACACAGTTCTGGTCACAATACAAAAAAGATGCAGAGACCCTAGAACAGAGGTCTTCAAACTTGACAGCTTTAAGACTTGTGGACTTCAGCTCCCAGAATTCCTCCTCCACTCATGTTAGCTCAGGAATTCTGGGAATTGAAGTCCACAAGTCTTAAAGTTGCCAAGTTTGGAGACCTCTGGACTAAGAGAACTTGGTATGTTTAGTTTAATAAAGAGAAGGCTGGGGGAGACATGATAGCAATCTTCCAAAATTTGAAGGCATGCTACAGGAAAGAAGACCTCAATTTACTCTCCAAAGCACCTGAAGGTAGGTCAAGAAGCAATAAGTGGAAGCTTGTTAAAGAGAGAACCAACTTGGGAAGAAGGAGGAATTTCTTGATAGTGAGAACAATTAATCAACAGAAGAGCTTGCTTTCCAAAGTTCTGACTATTCTATCCCTGGAGGTTTTTAAGAAAAGATTGGAGAACCATATATCCAAGGTTACTATAAGGACTCCTGCCTTGGGCAGGGGGTTGAATTAGAAGACCTCAAGATCTGTTCCAGCCCTATGATTCTAAAAGCATCCAATACAAACCATGACAATATGTGCATCGTATCTGGCACAGATTGTACAATACTTGCCATTTGAATGATGACACATGAGGTCTTTGGCCCCCCCAAAATAGATACTCATGTCCCCTTCTAAAATAATCTCCTGCAGCTTCCATTCCTCTTGGTCAAGGGTCTTCAAACTTGGCAAGTTTAAGACTTGTGGACTTCAACGCCCAGAATTCCTGAGCTAACATGACTGGAGGAGGAATTCTGGGAGGTGAAGTCCACAAGTCTTAAAGCTGTCAAGTTTGAAGACCCCTGCTCTTGGTCAAAATATATCACTGTCGTCGTCATCATCATCGTCATCATCATGTAATAGTATAAAAGAATAGTTAGATCCTTTTCGATTTGAGATGTAAGAATTTTATAGGCAAGTGAGTCTTATTTCACTCTTTCAAGAATGCTAAGCCAGTCCAGCTGTATTTGGAGCGTTGTCTGCTCTAAAGCGGATAATTGCTTTTCCTGATTCTATTTCTCTAAGTCCCTGATGCTATGTAGACAAATTGATTTTAGCAAATTTGCAAAAGATGCACTCCTCTGTTTTCATAAGGTCTCTTATAGTAGGATTAATAGTAAAACCACTATTTCTTAATTGTTTTGTGCTGCCTGGCTAGCTGGATTGCTTTTCCTCTATTTGCTGGAAGCTGTTGTACATCTACTTTACTAGACCGTAGATTTGTTGAGGAGATGTAAAATCATTTCATTGTGTTACTTTAGAATTCCTTCCCTCCCCAATTATGTTATTAAACATCAGTATATTTGATTAGGGGCAGGCTGTTCCCTCTGAAAGTTGAATGAAAGTACAACTTCCATAACAGAAACATATCTTCTGAGATTGTGATAGAACTTCGGGGAAAGCCTCCAAAGAGCTCATCAATCAATCATGTACAAGGTGAACCAAAGGTAATGGTTCCCCTCACACATCCATGCTAGTCATTTCTGGCTCTAGGGGGCAGTGCTAATCTCCATTACAAAGCCAAAGAGCCAGCGCTGTCCAAAGACATCTCCGTGGCCATGTGGCAGGGAGGACTAAATGCCGAAGGTGCTCAGAACGCTGTTACCTTCCCAGCAAAGTGGTTCCTATTTTTCTAGTTTTGCATTTTTACATGCTTTCGAACTGCTAGGTTGGCAGAAGCTGGGACTCACTCCGTTACGCAGCGCTAGGGATTCAAACCCCCTGAACTGCCAACCTTTCTGATTGACAAGCTCAGCGTCTTAGCCACTGAGCCACCGCAATCCCTGTGAACCTAATTGTTGTGAATCAATAAAAGTTATTGGCATAAATGCAAATCAGGGTTTGGAAACCTGCACACCTGATTGGTCCTTATACAACAACTAGGGATTGGTCCATAACTAGTCCCTGATTGGCCACTATTTTGACACTTCTCATTGGTTATAAGTTTGAACTTGTTGCACATGTCATTGGTTAATAAGGTAGCAGCTAACCCTATAAAAGGGTTGCTGTCGCCCATAGCCTTGCTCTGTTCTGTTCTATTTACTGTTAATAAAGAGTTGAAGTCACTTGTCAGATGTCTGGTCTCCATGACTCTCCAAACTTAACACTAATCTTGCTGTATTTCTTACTCTGCTTTATCGTATGAGTCAGAACACATAATCGATCATCTTTCACAGTGTATTCTAGTGCCATTAGTAACACAAAGCTTTTAAATGTGTACCTTTCAGGTGGCTTTGATTGTGATAGATGAAGACCATTACTTAATGTTCAGTGATTTGAGGAAAAACATTAAGTCAACGGCCCTTTCAAATTTTCTGTCACAGTTGAGCCATAGTAAAGTCCTCGGTTATATAAATAGCGAAGATTTGATTCCCCCTCTGAAGGCTTTTCAATGATTAATTAAAATGCCACATCTCATATTATCCTACTAAATCACTTCCCTCCATAATGTGCCTTTCTAACATGCTGTTAACAGCTAGTTGACAAGTCTGAAAATATAGTTTCATGCAGTTAGAGATGCTCAGCATGAAGAAAGCTGGCATAAGGTGTGTCTCCAGAACTCAATTGGTAGGAACAATATAAAGCAGCAGAAAGATTATACCCCACTGCATTCTACTTAGCATCTAAGAGTCTATAATTTAATGTATAAAGAAATGGGGTGTAATCTTTTGGCTGCTTTGTCACATCACTGCCCCCAGGCGCATAACGTTATACACATCAGCTGTATTCGCATCATTTGCAAAACACTAAACATAGCTTAAGAAAATATAGTGACTGTTGTTATGCCATATATAATGCCAAAACAAGAACCATAAGCAGCTGCTGCTGGGCTGGGGATGGAGCAAGGGATTGCGAGATTGGCTGGGAAACTGTCAAGAGAATGTTGAAATATCAATAGCACTTAGCAATAGTACTTAAACTTATATACTGCTTCACGGTGTTTTACAGCCCTCTCTAAGTGGTTTACAGAAGAGTAAGCATATTGCTCCCTCCAACAATCTGAGTCCTCATTTTACTGACCTCAGAAGGATGGAAAGCTGAGTCAACCTTGAACCGGTCAGGATCGAACTGCTGGCAGTGGCCAGAATTAGCCTGTAATACTGCACTCTAACCACTTTGCCACCAAGGCTGTCTGAAATGGAGATTACATGACTGTAGCAGCAGCGTAGCAGTAGCCAGTAGCACTAAAGCAGCCAAATGTAGAGAGACATGGGTCCTAGATTTTGGACACCTTCTGTAAATTAGCTCATTTGAGAAACCTTGGTTCAAAAATTGTTACCCTATAATGCAGTTTTTCCCAATTAAATGCGATGTCAATGAGAGTTTTAGCAGTATATAGTTCACAATGATTCTGCACTCACTTCATCACTGCATCCTTGTAACAAGCCTGCTAATGACTGCATTAACATCATCAAGTGAAAAAGGAATGGAAATGGATGGGCTGATAAAGGGGAAATGACATCTTAGTTGAAAAGGGGCACGAGCAAGAAAATGACAGTCATCTAAAGCTCGATTCTATTTAGCATAGAAAATTTAGCGGGCCTCCAAGATTCTTCCAATAGAATAGAACTGGAAGGGACCTTGGAGGTCTTCTAGTCCAGCCCCCTGCTCAAGCAAGAGAACCTTATACTATCTCAGACAAGTGATAAGTCTCTTCTTAAAAACCTCCAGTGATGGAGTGCCCACGATTTCTGGAGGCAAGCTGTTCCACTGGTTAATTGTCCTCACTGCTAAGAAGTTTCTCCTTAATTCCAGGTTGATTAGTTTCCAACCACTGTTTCTTGTCCTGCCCTCTGGTACTTTGGGGAATACTTTGACCCCCTCTTCTTTGTGGCAGCCCCTCAAATACTGGTTTACTGCTATCATGTCACCCCTAATTCTTCTTTTCTTTAGACTAGCCAGACCCAAAACCTGCAGCTGTTCCTCATATGGTTTAACCTCCAGGCCTTTCATCATCTTAGTTCCTCTTCTCTGAACTTTTTCCAAAGTCTCAACAACTTTTTTGTAGTATACTGTAGTAGTATATCTTTTTTGTAGATTATATTATCATACCCTACAACAATAAGGTAGCCCTCTTCTAACCCTTGTGATGTTTTTTTTCCTG